GGCCTTTTATGGTCCCCCTGGGAACTGTCATGGCACCTGCGGGTGTGCCTTGAGGCTCAAGGTCAACTGGAAGTTGAATCTTCTGCCATCTTGGTTCTCACCAGTTTGTCCTGCCCTCAACTGCTGTGTCTAGAGGTGAAGTCTTAACTCATTGATTTAAAAAACAACAAAAAACTACAAGCCAACTTTGTACAGAATGTATAGAATATATCTTCTTAGCCCAATCAGAGACCACTTGGGAAGTTCAGAATCTGTATGTTAGTCAATTAAAAACATTTTTTTGTTTGTATGTTTTGTATTTGTAGATATGTAAATACACCTGTATTTATAAACGTCACATTTAATAATTAATTTAACAAATACCTTAACTAATAAGAATAAACATACACCAAATCGAGGTGCCCGTGGCTGTCTGAGGATTTACTGAATCTGTGTCCCTGGCCAGGCTGTAAATCCCAGGAGGGCAGCGGTCAGCACCCCCACTGCTGGCCCGCTGTGCGGTGTCCCCACTTCCTGCACAGGGCCAGGCACACAGCAAGAATGTGAAACTTTTTAATTAAGTGGATGAATGCACAAACTCCCCTAAAGAATCCATGGTAGTGATTAATGGCAAATAACAGGGAACTTTTAATAAGAGTTTTTATAAGTTAATCTTTATCGAGTTTAACCATACATTCACAACATAATAATTAACTGCAATTATGCGCATAAGCGCTGTGTGCAGTATCTTTCTTTCAGCAAGACAGCTCCATAAACACACCTACCACATCTACACGCAGAATAAGAAAACTGGGGCTCACGAGATTAACGACAGAAAAGCCGTTGTCTTAAAGATATCTTTCAGATCCCGCCTCTTTGCCCTCTAAGTCGGTGTTTTTCTGAGCCTGGCCCAGGGTCCACTGGCATCAGAATTGCTCACGGTGATTTAAATATGCAGATCTGGGGCCTCATTTCCAACCTGCGGCATGCTTTTCCAAGATCGGGGACCAGGAAACACAGCATGTTCAAACAGCACCCCAGGTGATTCTTAGCACACTCAAAATTGAAGATCATTTTTCAAAGTCTTAATTACATCCTCCTGCTGCAAGGCCTCCCTCTGATATTTAACGTCAGGATGTTTATCTGGAGGGGAGGGGCGAAGTGACTCCTCCACCCCTGGGACCATCTGCCACGTGTCGTGTGGCAGAGCCTAAGGCAGTCAGGAAGGCCGGAGCCCCACCCAGGGTTGGGGAGGCCCGTAGCTGGTGCAGCAGCTTTCCCCAGGAAGCGGTCTCCCCCCTGCACCCTCCCTGCACTGGCTCCCCCTTAACTCCGTGGAGCCTGCTGCTTCTCACTTTTTTGTCTTCTTTATTCTCCTTAAAACCAACAAAACAGGGAGACGGAATCCCCAACTACAGGATACAAAAGGAGGAAACAAATGGTAAACTGTGAACTAATGTGGAGAAAGATGCTCTATCATCTCTTTGCTCCGTTGCTCTCTGACCCTCACGGCTATCACTCAGTTGCCTGCAGCATCGTGGGCCGCACGGTAGGGGGGTGGTCCAGCGTTGACGCATCCAACTGAAACCTTAATTCTGTACCCAAAAGGTTATTCCTTCTTGCTGGGCCTCATTTTCTCATCAAACAGGAATGCTAGGGACTACTCCTTTGAGGCTTTGGGGGATTCATGATAATAAACACACGTGAAGCGCGTGGCGGGCAGGTCAGGCACGAAGCTGAGGCCCAATAGGGGAACCAGTACCACAGTAAAGGAAGACTGCCAGGCTCCCTCCCTCAGGTCAGGCATCGGCTGGAAGCCCCCCTCCTGCCCTGCTTCTCCCCCTCCCCCTCTCGCATCCTCTGGTCCGGCTTAACCACTGTACTCCCAGGAGGCAGCGGTGGGGGCAGGGTGGGGCGGTGCTCCTGTAAATACGGTGCCCGCCTGTCCTCTCCGCCTCCCTTCACAGGCTTCTCTGCTCCCCCTCGATCACATGGACTGCTTCTGCTTTTAAGATGTTCTAAGGTTCCTGGGGTTCGGCTGCTAGGTGTTGGGGTGCATCCTCCAGTGCCCTTACAGCTAGGGGCGGTATGGGGGCCTGAGTCCTTGCTAGGACCCCCACGGCTGCCCAGGCCGGGCCTGCGCTCTTCTCCTCTGGCTGCTTTTCCTCCCTCAAGTCTAACCCAAGCTTCCCTCAGGGTCAATGAAGAATGGCCTGTTTCATTCTCCTGAGGGCTCCAGGCTCTGGGCGGATGGCAGAGGGTGCGGAGATCCCGGTTCAGTTACCCCAACCTTGCTGTACCTGGGACTCCTCTTCTGTAAAATGAGGGATGCCCCATAGAGTTGTTCTGAGGTGCCAGGACATGGAGAGCCTCTCAGGGGTCAGCAAATGCTGCTCTCTTTCTCCTTGTCTGGCTCCAAACCTCAGGTCCTCCCGCAGTAGCAGTGGTGTGCTTGGTTCATGCTTAACAACAGGCTCTCTGGGGTTGGGGTGGGGCAAAGTCCATTCTCGAGGTGTCATAGTCCCACCAGGGTCATTTCAAGCTACCCACGCGATGGCGGGGACCGTGGAGTTGGGAAGGGACGTGCACAAAGGCATTCCGGATTTTCCAAAGATGGTGTAACAGCATCTCACGCCACCTGCTCTGGGCTGTCATCTCGCATCTGTGGCTCCACCCCCTGGAATGTGGGCAGGCCCTGTGATGGCTCTGACCAGTAAGACACAGCTGAGACGCTGTGACACTCCGCTGTGGTTCTTCACGGGCCCGGGGCTTCCACATCCTGCCTCTTAAAGTCGTCATGTAAGATGTGTGATGATCCCGAAA